ATTTGACTAGGTTTTTATATGGCAACTGGTTTTAAAATATATAGTCCATCTTCATTTTAACTCAAAATAGATATTACCCAAGCTGAATATCTGTATGTTCACCACAATCTGATGAGAATTTTGACTTTGTTTCACAAACATATTTAATGGTACATAGAAGACATTAGAGAGAGGGCTGTGGGTACAGACTCAAGGCTTCCTGATTTGAGATAGAGTACTTTTAGAATATTAAATGATTAGCACAAATTTTAAGAAATTATAAGAAGCTGTTCTATGGATCCCTTAAAATACAAGTTTTATCCATTTTTAGGAATACTCAAAAAATATGTGCTTTGAGGTAAACATGTTTAGGGCTGTTCTAAGAGTTCTGCCGTTGTCTGCTTATAAGTTGGAAATGGCTCATGTGTCTGATTGAGAACGTATTTTAGAGTCAGGAACCATTGGAGAACATGCTTTCTGAGAAAGTACTCAAACCTCATCTGCTCTAGGCTTTTCAACGTTAGCAATCACAATATGGACAGTTAAATGGTTCTATAAAGAGGTAAGAAGAAAACTGTGAGTGTGGGTTGCCCAGGAAGGCTAGTAATGTAAGTGCTTCCAGAAGGCAGGAGTTCAGTGCACCAAGCAAGGTGAGGACTGAGAATTGCCCTTTGAGTTGTGAATGTGGACGCCATCGATGACCATTATCCAGCAGTTTCAGGGGCATGGAGGTGGTGAAAATTTGATACATGTGTGCTCTCCGAAATGATGTATGGAGAGAAGTAACAGCCACCAAATATAGACAACTCTTAAAGTAGATTCTTTCTGTAAATGTGAATTTCTTATAAATCTTTAGGGCTTTTGTATCAAAAGTTTCAAGAATGTTTTACAATTCTTCATAAAAGGACTTCTCAGTTTCTTAAAATGGGCAAGGAAAACATTTTCAGGTGGAGTTTTTAACAACTAAAATTGTTATTTAATAAAACCTACAGAACAAAAATACAAAGCTACTGCCTCTATAACCATTACACAAAATTTATAACAGTGCCATTAACTCTTAGCAAACAATTTTGATTTGTAAGAAGGTAGGAGAAGGAGTAGAATAATAGGGTATGTTGTTGCTACTATAGAGTTTGGTGGAAAATGTAAAGAGCAAGCCCCTTTTTAGCAAAGAAAGCAGCTGTGTCTTATTTATTTTGTGATTTCCCCCCCATAAAACTTTTGTTGCTTTTGCTTTTGTTGATATTTTTCTCGTGATATCATGAGTGTGAAGTGCTTTCTTAGAATTTTGTGTCAAAAATGAAAGAGCTAATATTCCTGATAATGAGGCAGGTTTGATTAGGTATTTCTATAGGTAGTTAAGAACAATTTCTCAGGAATGACAATGGATATTTTGGGGAGAAAAGATTTATCCACATATTAAAATAATGAATTATAGATAACGGAAAACTTTGAATTGATTTTAAAATATAAAACATGTATTTACGGTATTTTTATTTTTTTTGTCACCAAGGATATGATTTACTGATTTTTTTTTTTTAGAGAGGGGAAGGGAGAGAGAGAGATAGAAATATCAATGTATGAGAGAAACATCTATCTGTTGCCTACTGTAAGCACCCCCACCAAGGAAGTGAGGCCAAAACCTAGGTATGTGCACTGACTGGGAATGGAACTGGCAACTTTTTAGTTCAGGGGATGATACTCCAACCAACTGAGCCACACTGGCCAGGGCTAAAGTGATTTCCATGTAATATGATTGTTGGTATTGAGTTCTGGACCTCTCAAGTTTGATTTACATATGTTTCCTGAATGTTAAATCTGACTAAGCAAACATAGTTTAACTATAATTCATTATATAGTTATATCAAATTTTGCAAACAGAAATAATTTTTAGTCAATGAAATATTGTTGGGATGGAGGGACTTACCTGAGTTCCACTGTAGTATTGAAATGCACTAATTTTCTTATATTTGAATTCCTTAGGTAGGTTAGGAGAAAAGGAATGCTATTAAAGCTCACCCTCAGTACCAGCACCGTTTATAAAGCCCCCATCCCATTATTTGTCAGTCATTTTGTATATTAAGTCCAATTCTATAACTTTTCATCATTGGTCCTACTGTCGAATTTAATGCACTAATAACCTCTGTCCTTACTCTCAAATTGACCATCATATACTTTATGGTTAAAGCATTGTCAAACTCACAGGCCAGATCGTGAGAATTAATACCTACTGGTCTTTGCATATGCTGTTCCTCCTGCCATGAATTCATGCTGACCATGATTCCCAGGGCTCTGCCCATGCTTCACACCAAGGAGTGCAGTCATTTTCTCTTCTCTGTCCCTTAGCACCCTGTGCATACATTTTTATATTTTTACATATTGTAGTGTTATTTGTTCCTATGTATGAGTTCACTGATAGAGTGAGGGTATTGCAAATATTAAATGCCATATCTACGTGAACCAATAAAATTTTGAAACACTGAATGCACTCAGGAAATGACTAATAATCAAAAAATGAACAAACAAAGCAGAATATGGAAATAAATGAGCAAGTGAATGGACCCTTAACGGAGATATGGCAGAGCAGTAATAGCCCCTGTCTTGTTCCTTGGGGTGATTTTACTGGGCAAATTCTTGCACAAAGGCCATTAAATATATTTCTACCTATTTAAGAAGGGTTTATATTTCCTATCTCTCTGCAGAGGTTTCTTGTGGATAATATATAGAATCTTGTATTTGTAAGTATAAAGTATTATACAAATATAGGGATTTTTTTCAGGTTCAGAGGCATTATGATATATCCATGAAAAAATATCACCTACTCTACGAAGGGTTAAATAAAGGCACAGAGGAATAAATGGTATAAAGAGCAAGAGATCATATTGAAAGAGAGAACTGAGGCCAAAATTTCCTATTAATGTCCTGAGGGCCAGAGGAAGAAATCTTAATATTAACCCAGGGATCTCAACTTGGGCTGCACATTAGAATTACCTAGATATTTAAAAAAAATGTTTTCACATGAGCTATAATTTATCCAGTGTGAGTTGGGGTTTAGTCATGAACATTTTTAAAAATTCCCCAGGTAATTCTAATACAGCCAGGGTGAGAGCCACTGCTGGGCCACAGGAATTGAGAAAATGTTTCTAGGGAGAAAAGGTGCATAATACATGAGATGTTTTTAAAAGATTAATCAGCATGAATAGATATGAGGAGAGGCTGGGGACAGGAATTGAGTGATTAAAATGTCTAGGAACATAACAGATGAAAATAACTGTTTTAAAGATCTAAACTTTTTTTTTTTTTTTTTTTTTTTTTTTTTTTTTAAGAAGGCTAAGGAAGCCGCTGTGGAGTGATATCAGAAAGGCCTTCATAATTAACAGTGAAGTGGTTCAGACAAGCTGAATGTCACTCTAAGAATTAATATTGTCAGAGCAGCATCTTACAAACTGCGTCTAAAAGTTGCTTAGGTTGCAAGCAGATTAAAATGGCAATTGCCATTTGTTTAGTTACCCATGAAAAGTTCCCTAGGGGAGGTGAGTTTGGAACAGGAGTGGTTGATATTGTTTGTAGAGAGGACAAGCATAAAATAATGCTTTTCATGCCAAAGTTTCTAATACGGTTTTGCGCTTGGAAGTCATGCCTTCCTAATCTTCCATATTGCTATTTCTCTTAAACAAACAAACAAACAAACAAAAATAAATGATTTATTAATTGATATATTCAAAATGTAATGAAGAGTATCCTGAAATTCTTTTTGGTATTTTTGCTTCTTTTTTGGGTTTAAAATTATTTCAAAATAAAAATAAACTTTAAACTGTAATGCATTTTTAAATGTATTTAAATATATAAAATGGTCATCTTGAGATGAGAATATACTAAACTCGATATACTAAAGCCTAAAACTTATTTGCTTTTTAAAATGTCTTTGATAGCAATTTCATAACAAATTGATGGGGAAAGTAAAATTTTAGTAGTGGATCAAAAATTTGGCATACTAGTTTGGAAAAAATGTTGTTTTTCCTACTCATGTCATAAAATTCTGTGTGCATGTTGTAGTCTTATGGGAGAGGACTGGTTATATACCAATGATGAATCTGTTTTGGAGGCTCTACAATATCTTTTATTAAAGAAATCTTAGAAACACAAATGTAATGTTTAATAAATGGCCAAGCAGCAATGCTTATAAATATTCCTTGTCTTGAGTCTAACAAGAGATTTAAGGAAGAAGGAAGCAGGATAACAGAAAGTAAATAATATCTTATTTTCACATAAAACAAAACAACTCGTGAGGAATACTGAAAAGAGCCATCTTAATATTTTAACAGAGAAAGGCCCAGCCATAATTTATTATCTTTTGTTCTACAATTCACATCTATTTCCAAATGAATTATTTTAGTTAACCTGTTTTTAAAGAGTGCAGAAAAAAGTGAAGTAATATTTTAAGATGTTAAACTTTTAGTTTTTTTAATTTTTATCTATTCCAAGTGCATCATTTCTAAGACCACACGTGTGGTAGAAAAGGTATGGAACATGGTCCTGGAAAGCTGGGTAGCAGTCCAACCTTGTTAAAAATATTTTTCATGCTTTATTTTCCTCATCTGTAAATGGAATATTTATGACACAGGTTAACATGTGTGTTGTATATGTATATAGTGCTTGAATAATATCACTCACATATAGTAACATGGGATGTATTAAGTTTAGCTATTAAATATGTTTTAGCTACTAAAATCATAAGCATAATAAATTGACATTGCTCAAAAAAAGAGTAAAAATAAAATAAGTTTGTCTTAGATTTCTTTTGTTTTAGTGAAAACATTCTGACAATTTGTTTATCCTTGGTTCAGTTTTTATCTTTTGGGTAAAGGCTCAGTATTAATGCATGTACCTATGAGTGTAGTGTCCACCCTTGCTAGTTCAAATTGTATTCCTTAATTAGCCTCTTAGCAAACAACCATGTCTCTCAATAGACACTCTAAATGTGGAGTAGTTTGTCACAATTATTTGGTAATCTCTTTCAGTGTAACTCATACAGCAAAAGTGACAATATTCCTGTCACTCCCCAGAAATGTCCCAGCTCTGCGGGTTTCCACATTCAGGAGAATGAAGAAAGCCGTTACGAGGTATGATGTATCTCTATAGAGACCATGCTAGTACTGAGGCATTTGCATTTTCCTAATGATTTCAAATATTGTAAGTTAACCATTATAAATATTTTCTTTGCTCACCTCTTTTACGTTTACATTTTTATACCAGTACTTTTTTAGCAACTTTAAGTAGACAATTTTGGAACAAAAAGCGAACAATAATCTTTTATTTCTTTGGTAATGGTCCATCTATTTCATATAGTCTAGTGTTCTTGTTATTGAATGCAAAGTGTTGATTTTTATCTGTTTTGGAAAAAGTAATAGACAACTTTCTTTCAGAGTTATGTGTTCTTAATTCGTTTTTATTTGAGCTAAAAGATACACCTCTCAGTTGAAAGATTGGTTTACTTCATCCCCTATACTCAAGGAAGATAAAAAAGACAATGGTGTTTAATATAAATAAGCTATATTGGAATTTTTTTCTATATAATACATACATATTTGTAATTTAGATGGTATCAGAATAGTGCCTGAATCATGTTACATTTCAAGAGTCCAAAAATTTTAAAATACATGGAGCTGACATACATGATTTATACATAATTGCAACTTGAGAATAAGGAAAGAAAAATATTTTACAGATTTAAATAAAGAACTTACTATAATTAAGTAAAGATTTAAACATCCATTGCTATCACATATACATGTTAAGAAATGCTGTGTAAGTTCCTATAGACACTTATATACATAATTAATATGTATTAGTTATGTTGCCTTAAGTTTAACATACTTCAAACCATGCTAATATTTTAATATTTTCTTTAAACTAATTTCAATATAAATTTTGAATTTTTATTAATCTTTTCCCTTTTTTACTATTTTTCTCAGCTTTATCCTTTATTTCACTGTATTTTGAATTTAAAATGAGAATCTTTGCTTTTCTTTTTATAAAATGAATCTATCCACTGTAAAATGTAGATTCTTTTCTTTTCTTTGTGTCTTTCC